TATTTTGTTTTGTTGTCCTGGTTGATTTTCCCATATTGAGCCAATAGTATGCAACTTCACATCTACCCCTTGCATCTTAGCAGCTACCAGACATTCTTCTTCAACAATTTTTCAAGGAGCATCAATGAGATTGACCTATTACTGTTCATCATACGAAATGTTGATTTGGTCAGTTTGACTTTCTTTTCTTCAAAATTAGAGCCTCTTTGACCACATTTGAAGCCTTGATTTCAACTCCCTTTTAAACCTGAGTTACAGGACCTCTTTTTTTGGATGCTCTCAACGGCCCTCAGATAGCACATTGATATGGGAGAGGGCAGCATGCCCGGGCGGGAACGGCAAGGGATTCGGCCCCCCTTGGGGCCCATTAAACCTATCATGACATATGTGAGAAGAGGAATTAAGGAAGGAATTAATTAGGATATATTTCCTAATTAAAATGGGCAGATTTGGAGATTGATTTGGGGGATGATTTGAAGGTGATTAATTAGGAGATGTTTCTTAATTAAAAAGGGCAGATTTGTGGGCTAAATTGGAGGAGATATTTCCTAATTAAAGTGGACAGGGTTGGGGGGCTGAATTGGAGGAGATTAATTAGGAGATATTTCCTAATTGAAGAGGTTGATTTAGGGGCTGATTTGAGAGGAAATTAGATGAGGGCAATTTTGGAATTTGTTGTTTTATTATTTATCATAAGTAGTAGGATTTATGTTAGGTTTGTATGCAAAATTTGATTTATGAGTACTGTAGTTTTCTTTTTGTGAGTGATCCTAGCATCGTCTAGGGCTTGGGAGAGATGGTCCTCTCGAAAGAGGGCATTGTATCTTGTTTTGTTCGTTTTGGGTTTTTTATCAATAAAAATCTATTTTTGTGTTGAATCTCTTGAAGTTTATTGTTGTTTTTGACACTAAGGCGTATCAAATTGGTATCAAAGTAAGATTTTTGGATAGATGACAGCAAAGAAGATGGATGCGTTAAAAGGCAAAATAGAGCAATTCAAATTCAGCATGGAGAAGTTTTTAACAATGGAGAATTGAATGGAAAGCTGATTTGGAGGGATAGAAGGAATGTTAAGGAAACTCGTGAAGATACAATCCAAAACTCAATCGGTGGTTCCAATAGGGGTGTCAAAATCTAAACCGACCCGGAACCTGAACCAGAAAATTTCGGGTTCGGGTCAACCCGTTTGCCATACGGGTTGGGTTTGGGTATGGGATTCTGACCCCTTTGTAAAATCGGGTCAATTTCGTGTTGTAATGAACCAATTGGGGGCCGATTCAACCGAACCGGCCACCCATCTCTTATTAGACGTCGCGACCAGGGCGGGTCGCTATTCGGGAACAGGAACAGCGGAGCGGAGCGGGCGGACGACCGAGCGTGCGAAGGAGAGATTCTGAGTTTTCTTTCGCCATTTTTAGCAGTCGATCGCGTTGGAGGATAAGAATAATCAACTCCTTTTCATTTCCACAGTTAGCAGAAGTGTTATTTTGGGAGATATTGCAACGAATGAGAGGAATCGTCGAGAGGGAGAAGGAAAGAGGTTTGTGAAAATGTTCTTCCCTTTTTCGTATAAATTGTCTTGAGTCATTTCATTTAAACCTAGATATACTTTTCATAGAAGAAAAAGAAAAGAATTGAAGGCAAGGGAATGAGTTTGGGAAAGGAAGAAGAATTTAGAGTTTCCCAATTGTAAGTGATCTTTCTATGGTATAGTTTTTATTAAATTTTTGTAATTAACCGTTTCTTATATAAATTATATTGTATGAATTTAATGAATTAGAAAGGAGGAGATCAATAGTAGGAATTGGATTCTTCAAGGAATTTAACAAGAACGAAATTTGAGACTGAGGTATGAATCACTTAAATAGATGTTATTGAGAAGTTTGATAAAATTAATTATATGTAACTTGCTTTACTGTATATCTCCTTAGGTGTTGACGAAATCAAAGATTTAGAATATTCAAAGTGGGTATTTATAGAAGTTTAAATTTCTTTATTTCGTTTTTATTTTCATTTTGAAAGAAGTATATATGTAATTATTTAGACTTGTGATTTCTTCTACTGTTGGAAATGATTACCTGAAATAAACAACGGTATGTACGAGTACAAATATGTGAAAGAAAAATGATATGTATAAATGAGTATGTCAAAGAAATAGAAAGTAAAGTTTAGAAAGCAATCATACATATGTATATATATATATGAAAAGTTTATGTTGATGAGTTATTATTATATTGATGGAAATGTAATATCGTCCGACTTTTTCGTACCCGCCTCATTAAATCGAGCATCCGGGCCGGATCGTGACACATGTTGACCCGGAAACCCAAAACCAACCCAGGTTGACCTGGGAACTTGGCTGTCGCGCTCCTCTATCGCCTTGACTGACTGTGTCAGACGGTCGCTGGCTATTTGGCTCGCTGTTGCCAACTGCCCGCTGGCTGTAGTTCGCCAATCCGGCAATCCTGCACCCATATGGCTAGACTGGCCAAGCCCCGCAAGCCCGGCCTGGCTAGCCACCTGCATTCACCCCTTCATCTCACTGCCTCTGCCTTCACATCCGGTCCACCCGTCGACCCGCATTCTCCTGTGCCTTATGTCCCTCCACATTCGCCTCATGTCCGGTCCATCCAGATTGGACTCTGGTCGCCGCTACAGACCACGATCTGCCTGTTGGCCCCCTGCCCTTGTCTCTTGAGTCACGTCCAAAGACCAGAGTCCAGACCCATCGCAATCTCGCAAAACGCAGTTCACTCTCCCGCCCGCATAGCGCATCCAGGTTTGCGGGTCAGGTCGGGTCAACTTGTAACACACGCGGGTCGGTCCAAATTGGAAAACATGACCCTATGATCCCTGTCAATTCGGTACTAGGTCAATTCAAGTTAGGGTCAACCTGTTTGGACTCAACTCAAATCGGGTTGGACCCAAACCCAACCCGTTGACCCGTTTTGACACCCCTAGGTTCCAATTACTAACCCTAATCAAGATTTGACCGGGATTCCCTTAGCTGAATCTAAGGGAAATGAGATTGTACGGAAGGGGTTTGACGAGGAGAGTTTTGTCCATCTAGAGCCTCCTCCTAGGGCTCCAATAAAGGGTGGATCAGGGTTTTCATAAGAGGAAACAATAAGGATAGAATTGTGTGGTGGAGTTGGAGTGGTTGGCCATTATGGGAGGCATTTCGGGTAAGGGGAGTGGGCGACAGGAGATAGAGGGGGTCGAGCTGAACCATGGGATCGTGTCATGCAAGAATAGATGGAAGAAAGGTGGGACTCCCACCCTCAATACATGAGGGAAATATTGAGGGATCACGAAAACTGCTATACTGGAGGAGGAAGAAGCTATTGGGGTGGTAGTGATCCTAGGGTGAGGAAGTTGATGATGCCAATATTTGAAGGGGAGGATGCATGTGGGTGGTTGTATCGGATGGACATGTATTTCATGGTGAATGGGTTGAATGAGGAGGAGAAGTTTACAGCTACAGGGCTATGTATGAAGGGGAAAGCTCTAGCTTGGTTTTAGTTGACGATAGCATAGCCACTAACTAAGTAGCTAAAGAAAGCCATGAACAACATCTCATCCTTCCATCTTGAGGACAAGATGCATTTTGGGGATGAGAGTATTGATACAGGAGATGGCAGAATGCCAGGGCCAGGAAGGGCAAGGGATTCTACCCTCCTTTTGGGGCCTATTAAATCTATCATTACATACGTGAGAAGAGGAATTAAGGAAGGGATTAATTATGATATATTTTCTAATTAAAAATGGTAGATTTATGAGCTGGTTTGGAGCTTATTTGAATGTGCTTGATTTGAAGATGTTTTCTAATTAAAAAGGATAGATTTGGGAGATATTTTATAATTAAAGTGGATAGATTTGGGGGCTGAATTGGATGAAATTAATTAGGAGATGTTTCCTAATTGAAGAGGGTTGATTTGAGAGGGAATCGGGGGAGGGCTATTTTTGAATTTGTTGTTTTATTGTTTGCTACAAGTAGTAGGATTTGTGTTATATTTGTATGCAGAATTTGATTTGAAAGTGTTATATTTTTTTTTTGAGGGATCCTAGGCAGCGTCTAGGATTTGGGAGAGACTATTCTCCTCTTGAAAGAGGATCATTGTATCTTGCTTTGTTCGTATTTGATTTTCTATCAATAAAAAACTATTTTTGTGTTGAATCTCTTGGAGTTTATTGCTGTTTTTGGTACAAGGCGTATCACACACCCTCAATTGAAATAAATTCCAACGAACAATGAAGAGTTGTCCTTGTTTAGAGCATCAATTAGGTAGACTTTATTTATAAATGAACATCAATTAGGTGGACTTTATTTATAAATTATTGTAATCAATCTGGTTGAGTCATTTTGGTTGCTATGCCTGTCAAAGAAAGCTCTCTTCCTGCGCACTATGGAGTACGGTAAGTGTGCTGGAGCCCGTGCATTGCAGCATCTTGGATTGCTTGTCAAAGGCTAGTCCTCTTATGTTGTAGTGTTTTGCTCCATATGGCCGCTCTTAATAACATTAATAAATACATTATTCATAAAGGAAGACAAAATTTTTTCATTGTTAATTTGCCAGTGAACCAGTCAGTGGTTTAATAACATTCTAATGTTTAAGCTTAAGAGTTTTATGAGATTTCCATAACTTTCACATTCTCATAGCTTTTACCCAAGATACAAGTAAATTTACATTATTTTGCTGATGCTTAACAAAAACTAAGTGAAAGGTCGTTGTCCTTTCAGCTATTAAGATGCCTTGTAATTCAAAGTTAATATTTGTATTGTCATGGAAATGAATAGAATATTGCCTTTATATAGCTTTTTTATTGCATTCTTAGGCTTCGTTTGGGACTATTTTTTTATTACTTTTTAAAGTAGTTTTCTAGTACAAAATTTTTAATTTTTGTACTAAAACTCCATTTTAAGAATCAATAAAAAAACCGTCCCAAATGAAGTCTTATATGGCTGAGATATTTCAATAAACTTAAATATTTGTTTTCAGGGAACTCTAGCTGCTGCACGGCGTGCTACTGCTTTTGTTCGAGGAGATGACGTCATGCATAAGTTGTTCACAGAGCTAGCTTATCGCTACAAGTATCCCTCAGCTTAATATTTTAATTCTTATTCAAAAAAATTATATAGCCTTATCTTTGATGAAAATTCGTCATTTGGTAAAAAGGGGCCGAGAAGGTGGATATACAAGACTGCTTAGAACTCGCATAAGAATGGGAGATGCCGCTCCAATGGCTTATATAGAGTAATTTCCGTGAAACTTTTCTTAATTGTGACTTTGTATATTGTGCATGTTCTTTTTTGTTTGAGCAAGTTTGAAGCTGTTCAACTCAATTCTGATGCAGTCTTCAAAAACTCTCAATTCATGCTTCTCTGGTCATTCCTGTGGAAAATTATTAGGTGCGGAGTTCGTATATAGAGATACGTCCGGACATCTACTTAAAATGTAGTGCGCTTTGGTTGCAATTTTTTGTGCACTTTACTTGCACTTTACCTGTGCTTTAGTTGCGCTTTGACTGCTCTTTTGTTGCACTTTTTTTACTACCCTTTGACTGTATTTTAACCGTGCTTTACCTGCACTTTGCCTGCGCTTTTAATGCGCTTGGCTTAAAGTTCCGCGGACATATTAATTATATAAAGTAAAAAATAAATCCAATTGAATATCCACGTGTCCACTCCACGTGTCAACATTTTATTGGTGTCCGGACATATCTCTATGTTCGGTGTCCGCGCCTAATAATTTTCCCATTCCTGCACAGTATTGTTACGTTGTTTCTTGGGCCAGATATCAATTTGCAATGTCTTTTGAATGTGCCACTTCATGATTGTAGTATCATAATAATATTTTACTTGCGTGACTTTGCTCTAGATATTGAAATTTAATGTACTCTTTTTTTAAGGGTCGAAGTAAGGTTAATGGCCTTATCATCATTAGACATCCTAACTATTTGGACGTGGCTTTATGAATCCTTACTTTTCAATGCTTCCTGGTAAGCATTGTGTGAGGTATTAAACACTTTTTTTCTTTCATTTTCCTTTCACATTGATTTTATTGACCATTTTATTAATGCATCTTCTCTTTTACATGATCATTTCTCGCTATTCTCTTTTGAGAAAAATTCATCTAAACATGGAAGAGTATACTGATGCACTTGTTGATTAGATTGAATGTTTCACTTAGGTTTTGTTTGGGATGATTTTTTTGCTACTTTTTAAAGTAGCTTTTTAGTATAAAAATTAAAATTTTTGTATTAAAAAGTTATTTTAAAAAGAAATAAGAAAGCTGTCCCAAACGAATCCTTAGTCACCTCCTATAAGAGAAGTTTAAAGAAGATATTTCATAAGTATTGGGATCATAAAAATCTATATTTAATCAAGCATTAAATTTTATGCAAAACATGGATCTTGAGGCAGTCAAGACTGAATCAGAACCTAATCTGATTTTGCTTGGTTTAACCGGCGCCAATATGAGTTCAAAATAGCATGATGAACTCCCAGACAAATCCCAGAGATTCACAGCGGGCTCAGTGACACTTGAACCTGTCTAATCATGGCTTGAATGGGTCCAAGTTGCTCCAACCGAGGCAGGCAAACCTACATGACATCTAGTTGCAACTTCCACTATCTTTTATAGGTTTTAGTGCTTGTTTATGCTGAATCTAAACAAATAGGTGTCGAACCTTCTCAAACAAATCACTTCGAGACCCTATTGTTCGTGGTAGTGCCACCTAGAGATGTCATCAATCATGTCATCTCCGCATTTACCACACCAGAAGCCAATATGTGGCCATTATCACTAGTGCCCCCATTGTTGTTGTTGATCTTTGTAGTTGTTGTTGATCTTTGTAGTTGTTGTGTCCTGGAATATTCGCGGCGGTAGATAAGTATAAAGTTTAACGTCTTAGTTTTGTATGATGATCCAACACGCAATCAGATAAAAAGAGAGGGTGCAACATTTATAGGAGACATCAAGATTTTTATGTGAAAAACCCTAAAAAATGAGAAAAACCACGTGGCCAAGCCCAGTTTGAATGAATCCACTAGTATATGCAGTTGATTACAAATGAGGCCTTTCATTGGAAGGAATGTCATGGCTTTATGTAACAAATATACATCATATATAGTGTGTTACATCGTGGAAATATGAAGAATCATTATTGACGTGTTTGCTTGATTGGAAGGGTCATAGTCGGTGGGCAACGGAGGTTGGAAGGATTATAGTCGATGGACGAATTAAGTCGGAAGAACCGTAGTCGACGGGCGACAGAGGTCATAAAGACTGATATCTGGCAACGGAGGTCGGAAGGAATGTAGTTGGTGGGCGACGTAATTCAGAAGGGCAGTAGTCGGTGGGCGACGTAAGTCGGAAGGACCGTAGTCGGCGGACAACAGAGATCATAAAGACCATTGTCTGGCAACGAAGGTCGGAAGGACTATAGTCAGTGATGCAGGACTACTTAGATGCTATGGTTATGGTTTCATTTGAGCATTGCACAACTATTGAATTAGAATAATTTCAGAACAAAATTATAAGCAATTTTCAAACGACGATTAAGACAAATGAAGCGATCAATTGCGTAGGCGAAATCACATGCTCCGAATTTGAACTATCAAGATAATTGAGGAAATAAAAATGTGGGCTCCGAAAAATTCCAATTTTGGGATGTGTGATCCCGGGGGAATTTTCAGAAGGCAGATTGGGTTTGTAGATAAGACACTACCCAGAGATTTCGCCCTCATTTAGTGAGGACTTTTTGATCTGAGTTCTGGTTTCCTATAGGCGCAAGCCCCTATAGTTAATTACCCCTCCCGATAACGAGAGAGAACTTTCGATTAAGGCTAGTCGTTAAGGATGTTGAATAGGTTATAAACCTATCATATAATAGCAATAGGTTAGGGTTTTGAATCTTGAATTTATATTTGAATTTTGAAATTTGGAATTTGAAGTTTAAACTTAAAATTGGTGGTGGGGGGAATGAAGACGAGCCCGATCAAGATCCCATGGTTCCGTCGTCCCGGGCTGTCATGATCCCTGGTCTACTTAGTCAGAGGAGGTAGTCGACCCAACCTGACAGAAGGCACCTTGTCGGCAGCCATGGGTTGCTTCGTCCAAGAATACCTTGTAGACCTGGGTTGGTATTTGTCTAAGGGGATATATCTGAATCCACCTTAGCTAACAGAGGGCTTGGTGCCCTATCAATTATATCATATTGATTCATATCTCAAGAATTTGATGCCACTAAGTAACGTATAGGCTCTAGCCATAACCGGTATTTCGTGATGCCATTTGGCGGCAAAATCACTCCG